ATTAGTAGATCCAAAGACTTAAGTAAAACTGTGTGGATGAAGATCTGCAGAAAACCAAGACCCCTAAAGCAAGTGCTCTGACTTTTGAAAAAAGATTTTATTTGATAGAGCAAAATAATGTGTCTCCTATCTCCGAATGATCTTCTTCATCAAATTGCATTCAATTTACAGAGGCCTACAATGCATCAAACATTTTAAAAACATTGAAATCTTCAATAAAAAGAAGAGAAAAAATGCTTCTTAAGCCTTCTCTAAATTGAATATAGAGTTCGATCAAGGAAAGTTATAAAGAGATCGAAGACGTATCATTTTGCTCTATCAAATAAAATCTTTTTTCAAAAGTCAAAAACTTAGCTTTTATGGTCTTGATTTTCCGCAGACCTTCATCCAAGCAGTTTTGTTGAAGTCTTCGGACCTACCAGTCTCGATAGAAAATCATTTGAGCTACATAAATCTTTTGTTTCAGATTCTTGCTAGCTATTATCATCAAGAAGAAAACTTAAAAAACAAATGTTTTAAACTTATGTCAGTCACTATAGATAGAATACAACCAAATTCAATTAACTAAGAAAACATAAAACCAATTTTTATTTTCTTCAATCAAAAAAAAAAAAGATTATCACAATAATAATATATACTATAGAATATTGTTCATTTAGATTCGATTCAAGTGTATCACCACTTATCTTTGCTGATCAATTCATTAAAATTTCTACTCGACTATCAAGTCCATTTCTGTACGGTCTTGGTGAACATCGACAACCATTATTAATTAACATAACAAACAGTTGGAAAAGATTAACATTCTATACCCGTGATTTTCCACCACTAGAAAACTTCAATCTGTATGGTGAATATTCTTTTTCTTTAAATCAATATCTTTAAATAAATAAAATATACATAATTAATAGGTGTTCATCCATTTCATATCAATCTTGAACGAACACCAAATAATCAAACGAGTGCTCATGGACAATTTTTTCTTAACTCAAATGCAATGGATATTGATCTTCAACCATTACCTGCTTTAACTTATACAACTATTGGTGGGATTATTGATTTGTACATTTTCACAGGGCCAACTGTACAAAATGTTATTGAACAATATTGGGATATCATTGGTGTAAGAGACGAAGAAGAATTTATTATATTATTGTCGAATTGATTATTTTAGAAACCTATGATGCCACCATATTGGTCACTTGGATTTCATCTTGGTCGTTATGGATATAATAATATTGCGAATTTATTGGAAACTATTCAAGTTAGAATTCTTAAATGATAAAACAAAAAAAAAAAATTTCATTCTTATTTAATATAGAGAATGCATGATGCAGATTTTCCATATGATGTTCAATGGACAGATATTGATGCAATGTCATATTATCTTGATTTTACATATGATGATAAGAACTTTAATGGTTTACCTGAACTTGTCCGTGGATTACAATCTGATGGAAAACAATATGTGAATGTTATTGATGCAGGTATTAGTTCAACTCAACCACCTGGTTCTTATTTTCCATATGATGATGGAATTAAACGAGGAATTTTTATCAGACAATTTAATTCTTCTGAACCAATCTCAGGACAAGTAAGATTGGCAAAAAAAGAAATCTTATGATGTTGATGATGGTAATTTTATCTTTGAAAGGCTGCACCTGGTATAACAGTATTTCCTGATTTTACAAATCCAAATACAGTTGAATGGTGGACAAATATAGCTGCAACTTTTCATGAAAAAATTCCATTTGATGGAATATGCATTGTAAAAATTGTTCATCATATAATTTGTTCTTTTAATTATTGTTTTATATAGAATATGAATGAACCATCCAATTTTGTAGATGGATCATATGTTGGATGTACAACTAATTTCTTAGATAATCCACCATATGTTCCTCGTATGAGATATTTTTTAATACAATGTTTAAGAACTATATGAAACTAACTATCTATAGATGTACTTGGCAATAGTCTTAGTTCAAAATCATTATGTCCATCAGCTCAACATTATTTATCACAACATTATAATTTACATAGTATGTATGGTTATTTTGAAGCACAAGTAACAAATGCGTGAGAATCTTTTCTTATATTTGTATAATAGAAATGAAAAATTTATATATATATATATCTAATAGAGCATTGAAAAGTATTCGTAAAAAACGACCATTTGTTTTGTCGCGTTCAACATTTGCCGGTTCTGGTCGATTCGCTGCACATTGGACTGGTGATAATCGATCAACATTTAAAGATATGTACTTTTCTATTCCAGGTTTGTAATAATTTACAATACAGTTGTATTACATTATATATTTTTTAATATTGATGATATAATTTTCTGTGATATTTTATTTAGCTATTCTTAGTTTTAATATGTTTGGTATAACACATGTTGGTGCTGATATTTGTGGATTTGGATTTGATACAACTGAAGAATTATGTATAAGATGGATGCAATTAGGTTCTTTTTATCCATTTATGAGAAATTATAACGAGTTTAAACAAAAAGTAAAATATTTTATTTTTAAATATTGTACATTTTCTATTCATTTATATTTAAAAAAATAAATAATAGGATCAAGATCCAGCATCATTTTCATGGGAAGCTCAACAAATAATGAAACAAGCATTAATTATGCGTTATTCACTTATTCCATTTTGGTATACACTTCATTATGAAGCAGCAATAGAATCCAAAACTATTATACAACCACTTTTTTCTGAGTATATATTTCTATCATTGATATTAATAGAATCTTGTTTTTTTATTTAGATATCTAAATGATGGAAATACTTATGGTATTGATCAACAATTCTTAGTTGGTCGTGCTATTCTTGTTTCACCAAATTTGATTTCAGTAAAAAAAAATCAAACTTAGAAAGAAAACATAGTTAATTTGTTTTTTCCTAGGAAACAGAGACTGTCCATGCTTACATTCCAGCAGATGTTTGGTATGAATTTCAATCGGGTGCAAGAATTGGAACAGTCGGACAATTTACTGATTTGAATGCGCCACTTTCGAAAATTAATGTTCATGTTCGTGGTGGTTTTATTATTCCAATGCAAACACCAGGTGCTAATTTAATTCTTGGACGTGGAAATCCATTTATATTACTTGTTGCTCAATCACAAGCGGGTGATGCTAAGGGAAATCTCTATTGGGACGATGGAGATTCAATAGGTATGTTTTATGTCTGTTTTATTCGTTCTTCTATTCATAATTGTTTTTGTTTTTGCAACTCAGATTCAATTGAAACAAAGACATTCAACTATTTAGAATTTATTCTAACGACTTCGGTATGTAAAGAATGAATAACAATCGATGATTAGGTTTTAATAATAAACATCAACATTTTCTTCTTAATATATGAATAAAATACTACAACCTTGATTCTCTAAAAATGATTTATTTTGTAGAATTCACATATATTTTCGAAGAAAATTGTAAGTCGAAGTTTCGCGGCTCCCCTTCCTCCACATTACAGATCTTAGCTATCGAGGACAACAGACATTAGACTTGTTTAACCTTGGTTTTTGAAAATCTTCCAAAAAAACCGATGAATATTATGTATCTCGTATGGTTCGATGCTTCCCAAGTCTTCTCTTTTCAATAGTAGAAACCGCAGCTCTCTTTCTTGTTTCTATCAAAAGTTATTCGCTATCAAAAACTGCCCGATGACTTTTGAACCATCCTGTGTAATAGTACGTTAAGACTTCCTGTAGATATATTGGATATGTACAACTGACTTATTTGCCAATGAAGCCAATACATAGTCTGCGAGGAGTTTTTCATTTAACATATTTTGTATTAGTATAATGAGACTAAAGAACATATGTGACTTCTACATTTCAGTCCGAGAGGGATTACGCTAACAAACTTTTTCTAAATAATTTACATTGTCTAATAATTATAGAATACTTTAACAATTAATGCTCTCGTTACAAACTATAAATATTCTCCAATGCGTTTGGATCTTGTGAAAATTCTGGGAGTAAACAAGTCTGTGACCAATGTAACTGTAAATGGAAAACCTTATTCTGATTATCTTTACAATTTTCTTGATCAAGTATGTAATTAAATAAATTTAATAAAAAAACAAAAAATAAAATTTTTAAATATCATGATACTATTCAAATAGGTTTTACTTATTCATGGTCTTAATATGGATATGTTAGCACAATCTAGTCAAACTATTCAATGGACAATTACAAATTAATAATATGTGATAGAAACCAGAGTAAAAAAAAGCAATCATTTTTTGGATATTTTTATTATGTATGTGCTTTCATTTTATACTAATGCTTAAACTATGTCTTTCAAAATATGATTTAATCACTTTTTTTTTTCTTCGATTGATTCTTCTTTATGATACTTTTTTTAATATTTGCTTTTAAAAATTTGTACAAAACTTTCGAACATATTTTTGATCAAGTCATTATTTTTTTAGTATAATTAATATCGAATGAATCTATTGATATAAACAATAAGAATGCAATAAATATTTGTTTTTAAATAATTAATGACCGAATAGTTTTTGTTTGAATTACAAAAAGAAAACTATCTTAAGAGATATTGTCTTCTCAATAGAAGTTTTCAAATCAATGGATAATAATATCAAGATTGAGATAAAGCTTGTTGAAAAGGTTTTAATTTTTATTGAAACATCAAAACAATAGGAATCTGATAACATAATTCTTAAAAATTAGTGTTTAGGTAAACTTATCAAATTAACATTGTAAAATTTATATAGGAAACCATTGACAGTTATGAAATGAAGAATTTATCCTGAAAACATATTCTAGTGCTGATTGAATTTTTCTTTTTTTATTTCTAGCATAGACTTCTCATGCTCTTTCTTCTTCTGCGACAATCGAGTCAGTTTCCTATGTGAATCTATTTGAAAAATTTTTGTCAAAAGAAAAAAAAATAGATAAATTTTATTTTTTATTGTAGATATTCCTAATATTCGATAGAATGACATATTTAACCTTTATGATAAGTATTATAATTCTTTTTTTCATATACTCTTCGAATGCACAACAATGTGATCAAATTTCAAATGTAGCTCGATTTGATTGTCACTCAGAAAAGGATTCAACAAAAGAAAAATGTCTTGCACGAAATTGTTGTTGGCGTTTACCAATTAAATCAGCAAATTATACCGAGAAAAACTCGACGGATTTTGGTTTTGTTAGTATACCATTTTGTTATTATCCAAAAGATTTTCCAACCTATGAAATAATATCAACTGAAATAACAGATTTTGGTCAACGAATTCAAATTCTTAAAAAACAAACAACTTATATGCCATATGATATTCTTAATTTAACTGTTGATCTTATCTATGAAACTGAACAACGTTTTCGTATTCGAATCTATGATTCAGTTAATAAACGATATGAAGTTCCACTTCAAGTACCTATAGTAGAAAAGAAAGCTAATATTACTGATTATGAAATTAAACTTAGTCAAAAACCATTTGCAATACTTGTTACACGAAAATCAACTGGTGTTACATTGTAAGTTTAGATAAAAATGAAAATATTCTCTGAACGAACAATCTATTGCTATACTGTATTTTCTATGACTATTTTAGTATCAGGTAGTCATACTTGAGTCATTCGACTACTTTTAAAGCATTTTTTTAATAAGAACTATAGATGCTCATTGCGGCTGGAAATCTGACGCATTCATAGGAAAGACAAGGCTATCGGGATGATTATCAAGAAATTCTTCGAAAATCTCTTCTGTCACTGCTAAATTAGAACAGTTAGATTAAATTCATCAGATTTATCCTGAATATTTCTGATAAAAATAAATATTGATTTCTCATTTGTTTTGTTTTTATCTGTTTTTCTCAGATTTGATTCAAGTGTATCACCACTTATCTTTGCTGATCAATTTATTAAATTTTCTACTCGACTATCAAGTCCATTGTTGTATGGTTTTGGTGAACATCAACAACCATTATTAATTAATGTAACACAGGAATGGAAAAGATTAACATTTTATACTCGAGATTTTCCACCAATGCAACATATTAACCTTTATGGTTGAGAATCTTTCTTGTTGGTTTTTTTCTCATATGATTTACGATAGAAAGTTGTTTCTTTTTAGGTGTTCATCCATTTCATATCAATCTTGAACGAACATCCGATAATCAAACAAATGTTCATGGACAATTTTTTCTTAATTCAAATGCAATGGATGTCGATCTTCAACCATTACCTGCTGTAACTTATACAACTATTGGTGGGATTATTGATTTATATATTTTCACAGGACCAACTGTACAAAATGTTATTGAACAATATTGGGATATCATTGGTGTAAGAGACGAAGAAGAATTTATTATATTATTGTCGAATTGATTATTTTAGAAACCTATGATGCCACCATTTTGGTCACTTGGATTTCATCTTTGTCGTTGGGGATATAATAAGATTGAAAACATAATATCATCTCTCGAAGTAAATTTTTATTTTTCCGAAAAATGAAAACTTTTACATTCTTAAAATGTTATTCTTTAGAGAATGCAAAAAGCTGATTTTCCACTCGATGTTCAATGGACTGATATTGATGCAATGTCATCTCATCTTGATTTTACATATGATGATGAATATTTTCATGGTCTACCCGAATTTGTTCGTGCATTACAAGCTAATGGTATACATTATGTTAATATTATTGATCCAGGTATTAGTTCAACTCAACCAGCTGGTTCTTATTTTCCATATGATGATGGAATTAAACGAGGTATATTTATGAAAAAATTTAATTCAACTGAATTAATTACAGGAAAAGTAATAATTAAATTTCCAGAATTGATATTGATCTCTACTCTAACATTTTCTAAAAGGTTTGGCCTGGAACAACTGTATTTCCCGATTTTACAAATCCAAATGCAATTGAATGGTGGACAAATATAGCTGAAGCTTTTCATGAAGTAATTCCATTTGATGGAATGTGGATTGTAAGAATTATTATAAAGACTTAATGTCTAATTGTTTTCCATTATATTTTTCTATATAGGATATGAATGAACCATCCAGTTTTATAGATGGATCAACTGATGGATGTACTGATAATACATTCGATAATCCACCATTTGTTCCTCGTATGTATTTAGTATGGTTTTAAAAAATTCATGAAGATATATTCATAGATGTACATGGTGATGCTCTCAGTGCGAAAACTTTATGTCCATCTGCTCAACATTACTTATCATCACATTATAATTTACATAATATGTATGGTTATTTTGAAGCACAAGCAACTAATCAGTAAAGATATATAATTTTAATCTATAAAAAAAAAGAAAACAATAATTCTTTTGTAGAGCATTGAAAACTATTCGTAAAAAACGACCATTTGTTTTGTCTCGTTCATCATTTGCTGGTTCAGGTCAATTTACTGCTCATTGGACTGGTGACAATCAAGCTACATTTGAGGATATGTATTTTTCAATTCCAGGTTTGTTGAATATTAACAAAATTAATTTATGATAAAAAATTTCGACAATTAATTATAAGCAAAAAAAAAAGTAGTTTGATATTTCACATAATAATAACTAGTCATACTTTTATGAAAGAGGCGACGGAAGCACGAGACTTGAGGTTTGTTTCTCGTTACATGATACTGTTTCACTATTAGTTTGTTCAAAAACTTTTTTTTTCAAGAGTCGAAATTAAATTTTAAAAAATATCGGCGTGTTTCTTTAAGTACACATTTTTTGATATAAGTTACGAATTTTTTCTGAACCATACAAGCTGTACACAATCGAAAATGTGAAATGCAAATAAGAAGCACTAATTGTATTTCATTTGAATAGCATAAAAAGATTCGCCCTTCCTTCTCCTCGTTCTTAAGGTCTTGCCTTGTTTTCAACGAGTTAAAAGAATATCTTAAAGTATTTACTTAAAATTTTTTTCCAAAGAACGATGCAATTATAATTATAATAACAGTGTACTGAAGAAAGTCTGCAAGGCAAAATATCAAAAAATTTCAATTAACAAGAAATTCTTTGTTTTTGGATGAGAAATGTAGGGTGTGGATTCTAGTCTTTTCTTCACCTATACTCAAATCTACCCTGTAGACATTGTCTAAAGGAAAAATATCAAATAGATAAATGTATGTGAAGAAAAAACCTAGAATTCACATTTACATCCAACTATTCTTTTTTTTCCTGATTAAAATTTTCTTTTTAGCTATTCTCAGTTTTAATATGTTTGGTATAACACATGTTGGTGCTGATATTTGTGGTTTTCTATTGGATACTACAGAAGAATTATGTATAAGATGGATGCAATTAGGTTCTTTTTATCCATTTATGAGAAATCATAATGCTCTTGGTCAAAACGTAAAATATTTTATTTTTAAATATTGTACATTTTCTATTCATTTATATTTAAAAAAATAAATAATAGGATCAAGATCCAGCATCATTTTCATGGGAAGCTCAACAAATAATGAAACAAGCATTAATTATGCGTTATTCACTTATTCCATTTTGGTATACACTTCATTATGAAGCAGCAATAGAATCCAAAACTATTATACAACCACTTTTTTCTGAGTATATATTTCTATTATTAACCCTTTCCAGACAGCTACTAGAAGACAAGTAACAAAAAAGTCTTTTTATGGATTTTCGTTGTTCCTAGACCAAGGAGATAGGAAAAGTTTATTTCTCAGAACCAATAAGTGCTTCGGCATCTAATGGCTTCATTTATCCATTTGGATACATCCGGCCACTAAGGGACAAAAATTTTGAAAAAGTCTTTTTTTTTTGTCCAGCAAAATTTGATATTTTATGGTTTTTCTTGCATCTATATTTGTGGATGAAATCACACGTTGCCTGTTTGTCGATGTTTTGCAGTCCAAAGCTTAAATATTTCTAGAATGTTCTAAGATTCTGCAGTATAGTGCAATAGTAGCTCAATTTTTTCCGAAAATTTCTATAGATTCAGGAATATTGTAGAGAGTTGCTGAATATTTCGTGATGGCCTAGTTTGTAACACTCGAAAATGTTCAGAAACTCTTTAGAATGTTTCTGAATTTCAAAAAATTTTCGCAAAAAATTGAGCTACTATTGCACTATACTGCAGAATCTTAGAACATTCTAGAAATATTAAAGCTTTGGACTGCAAAACATCGACAAACAGGCAACGTGTGATTCCATCTACAAATATAGATGTAAGAAAAATCATAAAATATCAAATTTTGCTGGACAAAAAGAAATGACTTTTTCAAATAATCCGTCTTAGTGATTCAATAGACAGTAGGTCTATGAAGGAAAATTAACAACTGCTTGCTTCGAAGTTTGATTATTTAGAGACACGAGAAAAAGATTATTTCTATACGGACGCTATTTTGGAGCATTTTGGATAGAGCCGGCCATTTTCTTAGTGAGTGTTATTTTCTTCTTCTAAACACGTGAATGTGTGTTGAAATGTGTTAACTTATTTATCAAATCGTCAAAACATTTCATATCATCACTACAAGTTACTTCTTCGTAAAATATTGGCTTCATGTATCCAAATGGATACATCCGGCTGTAAAGGGTTAATAATAATAGAATCTTGTTTTTTTATTTTATTTAGATATTTAAATGATGCAAATACTTATGATATTGATCAACAATTCTTAGTTGGTCGTGCTATTCTTGTTTCACCAAATTTATTACCAGTAATTCATATATACTATTGAAATATTAAAGAAATTCTATAATTAAACATTTTTGTTTTTATTTCTTTTATAAATTAGGAATCTGATATTGTTCATGCATATATTCCACAAGATGTTTGGTATGAATTTCCATCGGGTATTAAACTTAATTCTGTAGGATTATTTACTGATTTAAATGCACCAATTTCAAAAATTAATGTTCATATACGTGGTGATTTTATTATTCCAATGCAAATACCTGGTGATAATTTAGTTCTTGGACGTGGAAATCCATTTACATTAATTGTTGCACAATCTCAATTGGGTACTGCAAGTGGAAATCTCTATTGGGATGATGGTGATTCTATTGGTATGCATGAATAGTTCTTGTTAATAATTATTGATATTTGTTTATCATTTAGATTCAATTGAAACAAAGACATATAATTATTTGGAATTTTCTTTAATTGATTTTGTAAGTAATAAATAATCATTGAAAATAATTTTTGTATTATTGAGTAAATTCTTTGTTCTTTTTATTCTATGAAAAATTTCTTTTTCTTTCTTTTTTGTGAATAAAGAACTATTCAATATTGTTCTGAGAGATATTCTTTTCCGATTCTTGAAGATTTGATTGAGTAAATCTAATTTCTAGTAGATTAAATTAAAGTCATAATCTGTTCTGACAAAAATAATTCAGTTGTAATTTACGTATTTTGATTCTTGAGACAATAAACTAATATGAAATAATTATTAATTACAAATAAAATCATATTAATATATCTTTTTTTTTTTCTTGTTGATAATTTTAGAATAAATTAACAATTAATACTCTTGTTTCAAATTACAAAGATTCAGCAATGCGTTTGGATCTTATAAAAATTCTTGGAGTAAACAAATTTGTTAGCAATGTTACTGTCAACGGAGAAAATTATTCAAATTATCTATACAATATTCCTGATCAAGTATTTATCAAATTTTTTTCTTTCCTAATTACATCTTAGTTTTTTTTTTTTCTCTTATGAAAATAGATTTTAGTTATTTATGCTCTTGATTTGAATATGTTAGCTCAATCTAGTCAAACTATTCAATGGACATTTTCAACTTAATAATGATGTAAGACAAAACGTTTTTTTTTCTTCTTTTGTTTACTTTTTGATATCTTTCAAAACATGATTTTTTTCTTTAACTATTTTAATTTGTTTGTTTGGTTTTTGTTTTTTGTATTTTTTTTACAACACATTCAAACATATTATAATTTAAAAGATATCCATCATTAAAAGAAAATATTAATACAATAAAAAATAAAAAATAAAAATAAAAGAAGAAATCCAATACGTTCGTTGTTTTCTATAATGAACAATAGCTGAATTACATCTATCGGAACCACATAAACAAAGTGAATCTGTCCGATGTTTTTTATGTTTATAACATGTTTCAGCTTTTTTTATATGATATTGAAATATTTTATGACAATCACGTCTAACATAACGTAATGCACTTGTTTTATTATCTCCTATAATACTATCATTCTCACGTGTCCACATTTTTAAACAATAATCATCGCATAAACGTGTTGGAATTTGTACTTGAGAAAAATTTCTTGAATCTTCACATGCTTGAATTTCTCGTGAATCACATACAAAACATTCAACTTGTTTACGACATGATGCTGAATCAGCATAAATTAAATATATTGAACGACGACGATTATTTGAAAGAATAAATAAAAGTAAAAATTCCACAATAATTGATATTTGCATGATAAATTTGTTTTATATAGATATTAATCATAGTCACATAAATGATAATGGCTTGTTCATCTAAAATAAAATTAAAGATTAGTAATATATATATATATATATATATATATATAAGGATGATAATCGATCCTATCGTGATGAATGAAAAGCATGTTATGACAGGAAAAACAAATCATTTTTATCTTGTTTCCGGTGCACAGAACACATTTCTTGTACTGACATGCCTTTTCATTCATTATGAAATAACAAACAAAAGAAGAAAAAAAAAAAGAGAAATATATTTTCACCTGTCAATGAACCGAAAAATAAAATTTCTATAAATATCGTTTATTTAATCTTTTTTTTTCTTCGTATTCATTCACGACAGCATAATATTTAATAATAAAAAAATGAATATAGAGAAGAAGAAAAAAAAGAATAAGGCACAAAAACTATTATTAGCACTCGTGTTCTTGTTTAATTGATCGTTCGACACGATCAGAATTATAGTATACATATATAGTTTAAAGTTAGCGAGAAAAGAACTATAACGAACTACTAATGACAACAACATCAATGTGCGCATGTCTAACACGAGAAGTAATAGTGAAGTATCCGTCAGAAAAAAAAAGAATCGAGTTTTCTCAGCAAACGAACAGCTTTTGCATGACGCCATCAAATGGAGGCGAGTAAATGAAGAAAAAGAAGAAGGAAAGAGAAAAGAGGAAGATGATGATAAAGAAGAAGAAGAAGAAGAAGGCGAAGAAGTGGAGAAGACAAAGCATACAGAAGTTATTGGAGTAGAGAAAGGAATTCGGAAAGAAGAAAAAAAAAAAACGAGAACGTACGAGTTGCGCGTCGAGCTCTAAGACTATGTGACAGCATCGCGGTAGTCGTAGTTTGTTTCCTTTTGAATGTATGTGCATGCATCACAGATATACAACCTAGTTCTGAGAGGAAAGAGGGATGAGATGGATTTGTTTCTATCCCTGGCGTCGCATTCGCAGCCTATTGATACTACTGTGTTCGGATTCGTTATTCGTGCATACGCATCAAATGCCATCATATGACAAGATGCGTGCTCAAGACAAACATAGAATAAGTAATATGTGACAATTTTCATAAAAAAAAAACTCTCATGCTGAGCTTTATAATGAAGTTGTCGGCACTCTAAATATCATATTTCTTCTAAACATAAAAAGAAAATATTCTACATATTTACCATAGTTATTATTAATTGATAGATTGACTTTTTCTTTCTTATTACCACATAATAAAACCTAAGTGTTTTTTTTTCTGATCTTTTCATCGCTTAAGGACAACATTTTATGTCAACAAAAGACTAAATTGAATTAGAATATAGTAATCTTCCTTTTAACTAAGTTTTCTTTGGTTAATTTTATGGATTCTTATCTGTCATAATTAATATTCCTTTTTCACTTTTTTTTTCTATTAAAAACAAATAAAATTAACTGTGATTCTTTTCTTGTTTTTTTGTTTTTGAAATATTCATTTAGAAAATGAATATGAAGCATATTCTATGGTATCATTATCTTGTCGATGCCAGAATTTGAACCTTTTTCTTTTTAATCAACTAATTTTAACCACAGAACAAAAATAAATATATATTTAATACTGATAGACATGTACCTATCTTATTCAAACTTATACTAAACAGATAATTGGGTCAAAAATCGTAAAGCTCTGTGTAATATAGCGCGTCTGTTCTCATTTCAGAGAGTGCATATGCGCTAATAATAATCGAGTAAAACAAAACAACAAGTTTTATGACAGCTGAGCAAATATTTCGCAGCTGTTATTCATTTCTTTTTTATTACATTATAAATGATATGTATCTTTTTTTCTGACATAATTTTAATATATATATATATATATAGTCAATAATATAAATTTTTATGAAGTGAATACATAATAAAATAATTTTTCAACAATGTCAGATTTTTATCATTCAAAATAATATGATGATTATTATGTTGTGCTGTTTGCTTCATTTCCTGTGTATATAAATTTCAACATATACTCAATAATTGTTTGCTATAATTTGCTTATCAAATCATTGTTTGCTAATATTTTTCTTTTCATATTTTTGTTCTTGTTTTATTCTATCAATGCGATAATATTGTTAGAAATTTGCAAACAGAAGGCTATGTGTAGTTTCTAATGAAATTTTTTTTTTCCTATATTGATACTTTGTATTTAAGTTATATAATATATGAAAATAAATATAAATATTTGCATTTTATATTTAAAACATTTTTTTTGTTCTGAAAATCAGAGATTATTTTTAAATTAAAAAATATTAATTATCTCAATTTATTATTAATAAAATTGAGTCATGCATATCTATACACTTTGATAAAGAATTTTAATTTTTTTTGATAAGATCTAAAGAGAAATTATCTTAAATTAAAATAAGAATCAAACAATAAATGTTCAGTAAAAGTGAACATATACATTGAAAAACATATTCAACTTTTAATAGATATCATATATACAATCATATTTAATATGATTCAATATGAAAACAATGTAATAATGAACAAAACAAGATCTTACAATGATTATTTTAACGTACTAGTTTGGTATTCTCCCTCAAACCTTATTTGATTGCGGCTTGAGATAAAAGCATTCGAGAAAGATCAACAAGAATATATGCTTGTTTTGGTATGTATTACAATTCAGTACTGATTCAGCTTGCAATACTTATGATATTTCTGTATCGTTGTCAAAGGACATAAATGATGGATTAGCTATTATTAAATCATTTCGTTCCATATAATGGCGTAGAACTTCATAGATAACAGGACAAACATGGTATATTGATATGTTTGATATAAACATTAAAATGTTTTGTCAAAGAAAATAATAATGAGTAGATATTTAAATCGAGGTTATTACGACTTCTCATCCTTAGGTCCTATCAATCAAGATTAAAGGTCGTCTCCTACCCCCTGTATTATAGATCTTAGCAATCGACACTAAATGCGTTGAATGACATTAATAATAAGACTTAGAAAGTTCTAGAATCTTCCTTGAGATTTAAATGACTGGAATATATTTTTTTAATATTATAAATAATGTAGTTTCTGATTTCTGCGTAGATAAACAATTCTATAATAGATATTAAGATTAATGTTTTGATTTTCTACAACTGTCATATGATTAACACAAAAGTATGAACTGATTAAATTCTAACTAACGAGAATAATCAATTACAGTCTTTCTGATTTCATCAAGATATATATAATAGACTGTTAAGATCTACTATAGATATAACGAATATATACAACAGGCTTATTTGTCTATTAAATCAATGTGTAGATTAATAATACAAAAATTATGAAAAGAAAATAAATACTCTATAAATAGCAATAAGACAAACAAAAAAAGAAAATAAAATTTCTCTAAGCAATATAGAAATACACAAGACAAAGTGCTTGTTGGCAATCAATTATCATTGGAAAAAGATCTATGCTCTTTTAGAGACTGTACACATTGCATAATCTGTATTAGTATAATAAAGCTAAATAAGACATCTGAGTTCCATATTTCAATCCCAAAAGGGACTATGCTAATAAGCTTTTGTTTATTTACTTTCATTCGCAAGAATTTGATTGTATATGACAAAAATTCTTTTTTTGTTAATTAATATTATCTGCATCTTTTCATGGTTGGAAAGTTACATCAATAATGTAGAAAGTATACTAATTCTTTTCTAGGTCATTTTTCGAAAGGCAATATGCTTCATTTTATTTCATAGTCAAATAGTTTTTCTGATAAATTAATATACCATATCTTTACTCTTGATCTTGTATATACAATGATATTAACTTTATATTTTTTACTCTTTTAAGATTCAACATGTTTGTTTGTTTTTTTAGAAGAAATATTAAATAAAGAATATAAATACGTACATTTACTTATCACTCAATGATATAATTTATTTTAATTTATATTTTAATATAAATCATATCGCACGTTTGTCCGCACTATCGACAATAGCGTTAACGACTTTCCATCCCAGCTATTAACAATTGTGAAGTGTGTTTTCTATACAAGTTTGAATTATTTATTAGAAAGAATTCAAATTAGTCGAGAAGAAAACTGTTTCAGAATATGTTTTTATTAATATAAAAATTTTTCAATGACATCTATAATAAAAAAAACATATCTCATAATTGGGATTGATTTGGATTCTGTGACTAGTACAAGCGACTCAAGATCACGATAGAGAATCGAAAATGACCCAATTCTTTGAATTTTAACAGACTTCAAAAATAATCATTCGTTTTTATACAATACTTTCCAAAAAAAAAACGACGGTAGCTTCTCAATAGTTATCACATATGAAGAACTATATCAAACAATAAACTCTTAGCATTATTTGTCAAGTATAATCTATTGCTTAGACTACGATTTTATTTTGTATAGAATTGTTGATTAATTTAATCTGTAGAATTATTCAACGATAAAAACTCACTAAAATTTCTTGAAAGACTATACGAAAAAAACAAACAAATTATTAATTTATTAACAAAAAACCAAACACTTTCTACAATTGATATAAAAAAAATAAAAATAAAAATAAAACTTGTTATTTCTCAATAATATATAATTAAATTCATATATAAAAATATTATATTGTGGAATTAAACTTGTTCAATAAACTATTATACATCGATACAAAAATAGAAATACATGTCTAGTAATGATCAATAAGATGATTGAAGATCATAATAAAACACTAATGTGAATTTGCAAGAATATGAAAAATGATTAGTATACTTGTCATTTGATTAGCTATTTTTATGTGACCAAATCGATAAAGTTGAATATTTTATGATGCGAATAAACATCGATCAATCGATGAAAGTAACACATAGTCAATTGAAATATATGGTGTTACTCATGATAAAAATACATGTATTCATCAGCATTTAAGGTTCAGTTTTTTCTTCTGTATTATTATATTGAATAGTTGCTATTCATTTTTCAAATAT